ACACACACACACACACACACACACACATGATTTATCTCTATGGCTCTTACTCCGCTTTAGCACTATGATCTAGGTGTGCATTTCGAAGTGAACATCTCTGAGACTCTTGATTGTTGAGATGATGCTTATGCCCTTTTGCATGCTGTTTGTTATTCGTACCAAGCGTGATGCTGGCAGCTTGTTGGGAAAGATTCCCTCCACAGAACCTTGATCATGATTTGGTCTCTGCCACTCTTCTCAGAAGAATCTGCATAGAGCAAAGGAAGCATGGACAGACGGGACTCTGGTGGCCCCCAGAGTAATCCAGACACCTCTTCCAGTATGGGAGTTTTCTCATTCCTCATTTCAATTTCAGTATATAATCTTTGTAGCCGAAACCGGGTAACGTCTCCGGCATGTGGGACGCTGGACCTGGTTTCCAGCAGGTGCAGCTCCCCACCAATAGACAGGAGCCATCTTGGGGAGGTCACGAGGGGTGCTACCCGAGGCTGCTCGTATCACCCTAACACCACCCAGGAGATGTTAGGGGAAAAAAAAAAGGACGTGGCAGCCGCAGGCAGTGTGTGAATTGGAGAAACATTAGGACCTCACGTATGCTACACAGATGGATCATGGAGGCAAGCTCCTCACATAGTAAAGGATGTGAATCTGAAGAGACCAGGGCTCGTGCAGAGGACACAAGTCAAGTCAATGAGACAGTGAGACACACATCATCCTCTTCCTCCTCCTCCTCCTCCTCATCATCATCATCATCATCATCATCATCATCATCATCATCATGGCCATCAACGCCATAGTCGTTCTCATGATTGCCACCATCCTCAGCATCATCATAATTGTTGTCAGTATAGTGATAACCATGATGATCGCTATCATCTTTCATATGTGCTTTCTTTGTTTCACTTGGTAGAATGATCTGACCATCATCATGGTCCCATCATCATGCTCCCATCATCACTTAACATGCGTATTCTCACCACCATTATCGCGTGCTGTTATGGATCTCGTGGTGCTTATTTCAGAACCACCTCTACTGCTACCATCTGTTTCGAGTCAGGTTGCAATTACGCATGCTACGATTGTTTCCGGACGTGAGTTGTGCGATCGCGTCTGTGTGCAATGTGTGTGCAATACTCGTGGCCGTGAATGGTGGAAGTGGCAGAGCAGGTTGCAGAAACCGTCAGCGGGCATTCCACTGATGCTAAGTTAGACCCGTTCCCTGGCCGGAAGGCCCGGAACAAATGCAAGTTCATTTGATGACAAGCATGGCCTGACAACACAAAGTTGCCCACAGAAAACTGAGTCGATCTCGAAAAATGGAAGTGCAAGATTTGCTGTACATCATGTCTCGTTACAACCTCACTCGAAGAGGATCGTAGCATGTGTATGGGTGAGTATAGCACATACATTCACGACCACGAAAGTGGTGATTCGACCATGATGACAGATGCAATGCATGACATGATTATTATATTATTATATAACTTAAAAAGATTTACAACTCTAGCAGTTTCACAGGACCTGCAGTTGCAGCAGCCCCGCTACTATAGATCTACTGTATAGCCTTGCTGAACGATGGATTCCTTCGATAAGATTACCCCCTATCAACAAACTGGATAGTGCTTTATCACCCCCCCCTTTCTAGTGGGTCACAGCTAATTCTCAAAAACATAAAAAGGGGGGGGATAGTGCTTTCCAAGTGTTCACTTTGATCACAGTTTGATGGAGGAGAAAGGAGGACGACTGGGAATGACAAACAGTGGACACAAGTAAAAGAGTGTGGACTCTGGAAGAGTGTGAGGACCTTGTCTTCATCAGTTGTTGCTAGCATAATGATATATCAAATTGTTTTCTACAAGAAAACGAGAAACTGTCTCTCCCTTTTGGATGGCTGCATTGCGTTTCGATGATGACAATTATGATCGAATTTCCAACCCCTACGACTTTCAGAGTTTGTTCTTAATGGACCAGTAAATGATCCACGTTTTTAGGCCGTTAACGGGGTGGCTGAATCGGTGCGCCGTGCTGGTCAAATGTGCATTTGCGTCAGACCCTCCCCAGAGGGGGCCTCAGCTAAGACCCCCTGGGGTACTGGTGGTTTAATGGACCAATACCTCCGGCGTGCCTCTTTTGTACGAGAAGGATGCGGGATGCCCACTGCGCACCCAGCTTTGCAGAAACACCAGCAACTTGAAGGCGTCGTTGTTCCAGTTTCTAGTTTTGGGCTGGCGCCGCCAGCCATTTTGGTCAGTTTGCCCGGAGCCTCCGTTTTGTTTTTCGGAGAGGCTAAGTCGTGATTCTCAAGTTAGCTGGGGCCATGTACTGGTGGTTTAAGACCCCATCCTCAGCAGCTACTGGGGTGGAGGGAGCTGAAACCAGGGGCAGGTTGCTGGAAAACTACCTGAGTTTTCGTTTTTGCTTTTTAAAAACACCAAGGAAAAAGACGACGCCTTCTTGAGAACTGATCCAAGAGAAGAGCATTGATTTGTGGATCACACTCTCTCACTTTCCACTTTCATCTCGCATTCCTCATCCTCCCTTCCTTCAAGTTCTCCCCCCCTTCCCTTTCTTCCTTCCTATCTCACATCCCACATCCTCCCTCCGGCTTCCTTTTCCCTCCCTCCCTCCCTCCCTCCCTCCCTCCCTCCCTCCCTCTCTTCCTTCCTATCCACTCTCTCTCGTCCCACCCTCTCTACTGTCCTTTCTTCCCTTCCTTTTCTAGTCATCTAGGAAAATCCTCGCAAGACTATACCCTCAGTGAGGCCAAATATAACATCCAAGGAAGGACTTCAACCCGCAACATATTGATGTGACCCCCAAGCCCACATGAACACACACACACACACACACACACACACACACACACACACACACACACACACACATAATCAGGCTTGGTTGTTTCTCTTTCATGCAAGCCCCCGAGTATGTCCACCACCTGGGTGACCTGGCCACCACCTCACATTGTGTTTTTTTTTGTTTTTTTTTTCAAATAATACTATGCCTATTAGATAATAGATATAGTATAACACTATAATGTATTGATGCTATATGTATTCAGCTATGCCATATCTCTTTGTTTACAGCATTGTTTTTTTTTGTTTTTTTTTTTTTCTGGAAAAGGGATAGTTTGCAAAATACCCTCATAAGTTGAGATATATGCCAAAATGCCCCTGAAACATGCAGTTCGTGAAAAGTAGACATTTCGTGAAAACTGGACTCGAGTCAAAAACTTTACATTGATTTAAAAAAAAAGGGTTTTAAGGATGTCACATAGGACATGCATTGGCCGTTGTCATAAACATTTGGGCATAATCCTATATTTTTTGTCAAGCAACGAGACGGATGGAACACAAAAAAGCAAACAACATGTTATTGCCAATACATCCAAGTTGCGGATTTTCTTTGTATAAGGAAAACTATGTTTTTGGAAGTCATACGCATAAGTGGAGGCAACAGCACGTCTGTTGCCTCTGCTTCTCCCCCTTCCGCGGCTCCTCTCTGCTCCGCGGCTCCTCCTCCACTCCTCCCCTTTCGCTGCTCCTCCCCCCTCCGCCGCTCCTCCCCCTCCGCTGCTCGTCCCCCCTCCGCCG